ATTCACATGCCAAAACCACAACAAAAGAATAATAAAATGGAAAGCCAAAAAACTATGTCCCCACCACAGCCCACCAATCCGGTAGAAGTTCTACAAGGAGAACCCCCTATAGATAACCCAGGACACTGAACTTAAAAGAACAATCCTGAAATAGATCAAGAAATTCAACAAATTTAAAGAACACATGAACAAACAAATCAAAGAGCTAAGAGAAGATAGGGATAAACTCCTGAATGAATTCACAAAAGAGATAGAAATATTGAAGAAACTCAGGCAGAAATGAAGAAGGAAGTGCAAAACTCCATAAGTCAACTTGAAACAAAAGGGGAAAGCCTCTCCTATAGAATGAATGAAATGGAGAACAGAATATCAACACCTGAAGATAAAGTTGAAGAATTGGACCACTCAAGCAAAGAGTAGGGAAAATTAAAAAAGAAAAAAAACAGGATTGTAATATGCAAGAGATGTGGGACACCATGAATAGATCAAGTCTACAGATCATAGGAATAGAGGAAGGAGAAGAATTTCAGGTTAATGGTGTTGACCGTATCTTAAATATGGTTGTAGAAGTGAATTTCCTGAAATTAATGAAAGACATCCCCATACAAATACAGGAAGCACATAACCTAATAGAAAGGATCAGAAAAGAAACTCCCCACAACATATCATAGTAAAAACACTAAATGTACAGAACAGAGAATACTGAAAGCAACAAAAGAAAAACAAGTCCCATACAATGGAAAGCCCATTAGAATTACAGCTGACTTATCAATGCAAACTATGAAAGCCAGAAGAGCCTGGCCAAGGTATTTCCATTTCTATATGACAGTAGATGCCAGCCCAGAATACTATACCCAGTACAAATATCTATTGTAGTTGAGGTGGAAAGAAAAATCTTCCATGACATGAATAGTCTGAAAGAATACATGTCCACAAAAACCAACCTTTCGAAGAATATTTGAAACAATATGGAGAGCAGAGAAAAAACAACAATACCTTGGGGCAACAAAGGAAAATAAAGATATAATCTAGGAAACACAAAATTAGACGGAGAACACAAACAGCAATCAAAATGACAGCAACCAATACACATCTTTCAATAATAACCTTAAATATCAACGGACTGGGCTCCCTAGTCAAAAGACACAGGCTAAGCGAATGGATTAAGAAACAAAATCCATCTTTTTGCTGTCTGCAAGAAACCCATCTCACCTTCAAGGACAGTCACTACCTTAAGGAAAAAGTTTGGAAAAGAATATTCCAAGGAAATGGCACTACGAGGCAAGCAGGGGTTGCAATTCCAATGGATTTCAAAGAAAACTAATCAGAAGAGAAAAGGAGAGTCACTTCATTCTGATCAAAGGAACAGTTAACCAGAAAGACATTACAATCCTTATCATATATGCACCAAATTCTGGTGCACCAAAATTCATAAAAAGAACACTACAGGACATTAAGACACAGATTAACCCCAACTCAGCAATAGTAGGGGACTTCAATACCCCACTGTCTGCATAAGACAGGTGAACTGGACAAAGAATAAACAGAGAGATGTCTAAATTAAATGATACCATATATCAAATGGATCTAACAGACATCCTATGATTATTCCACTTTCTACTCAGACTTGGAAGACAAAAGAAAAATGAGGAAGAACCCAATAGAGGGATGCTTTTGGAAACCCTTGTCAAGAAACTCTAATGGACTTTCATATGAACATTTGAAAACTGCTCTGTTCTGACTTTTTTTTAGTTTCCTGTCCTGAAATTGTAATGCTAATTACTTTTGCCTTTACTTCTCCTTTACATCTGCCACTCATGACTCAAGGACATTCTTCTCCCTTAGAGACAAAAGTTATGCAATTTGGGAGTCTTTTAGATAGATCCACTGAAGGAGTCCTCCAATTCCCTCACACTGCATCCTGTTCTACAAAGAAGAAGCCAGAGAGGTCGGAGTCTCTATTCCCTAATGGCAATTTGGGTAACCCCTTCATGGGATGGCATTATAAGAGTAGGAGGTAGGAATTGGCTAGGCAGTTAGGGTAAAAAGACCCCAAAGAAATGTAGCCATTTTCTTGGATAAAAGTCAAAATTCCTTGGGCATTTTAGGAACATACTGTGTTCCAAAGGCCAAAAATGTCAAAAGTATTTGGGAGCTTGTACCTAACTCTTAAAAGATTTTAGGGTTACCTCTTCAGAGGGTGGCATGTTGGAAGAGAGGGAGTGAACATGGATTTGATCAAAACACCTTGCATGCATG